TGCGGTTCCTGCCTTGGAAGAGCTGCTCTCCATTCTGTATGCTAATGAGATGTCCCTCTGTTCCATCTTTAATGCAAATGAGGCTGGGGTGTTTCCTTAATTGTATCACCCTTGTCTGAAGCAGTTTAGGTGTGTCTTCCCCGACCTTTTCATTGCTTTGTCTTTGATTCTAGCAGAGGCCTGAGGGAGGGGAATGGTTTTCCATGAATGTCACTCCCTGGCTCCCCAAGAGCACAAGGCTGACAGGTGACCATGTTCTGGTTCCCCAAGAAACACAGAGCTGGTGGGTAACAAAATCTAGTGCCAGTTCCTCTCACCACAGATTCCCTGTGTGACCCTTGACAGGTCACTTAATTATGGTATACCTCAGCTCCCAATTTGTGTGTCGAGATAGTAGTATGTCCCTACCTGAGTGGGATGTTAAAGTAATTGTTAGAAAGGTTCTCAGGGGCCAGATGTATAAATAGATGTGTTGTGTGCTGAAGAAAACTACTTTTTTTCCAATAGCAAATTTCATAAACCAGCAAGGAGTGCTCATCTCTTGGCCAAATGGAAAAACATTCACCCATTTAATGAAAAAATGCAGCATGTTCAGTGTAAAGGATCTGAGAAATTGTCCAGAGTTAAGGGGCTGTTACAAAGCCAGAGACATGTATTACAATCACCGCTGACCTCCAGTACAAGCCATGGATTTCACCCAGCAACTGCTGCCTGTAGCCCTACTACAGCTGGTTTGACTTCAGCATCCTCAAAACAAAAACACAAAATAATCAGATGTCCAGCCTTGCATTAAAGAATCCAAGAGAAGGCAAATTAACCACACTTGCTAATTTGTTCCAGTGAACAATTACACTGAAGTCAGAAATGTGTGCCGTACATTAACCCTCCTGAAAGGGATGGTAGTTCAACACAGTATTTGCTGAGAAGGGAAAAAATGTGTTCCAGTGACACATTAGATTTTCTTCTAGGTTTTGACAAGGAACAGCTCAGACAATGGGGTTTTTTAATATGAGAAGGCTTTGCTTTGTCACAAACTGTGAGTTATTCCCCTCTCCCTTTTTTCTGTTCAGCAAATAAGTTAGAGGTAATTTTAGAGAGAATTTCCTGACTTATCAAATGAGCAGTTCGAATGCCACAGCTTTGCACAGCTTCCTATAAGAACTTTAGAACTAGCTGTAATCCATGCACATTCTAATCTAAAGAAACCCATTACTGATCATGGAGAGAGTGTATTTCTTTTTCTTTTGGAATTTAGAAGTTGGAAGGTATATACCTGGGTGCAGGGGCGGATATAGGGTAGGGTGAACGGGGTGGCCGCCCCGGGCCCCGCGCTTCAGAAAGCTCCACGCATGCGCCGTGGCGCTGCTGCGCATGCGCATGGCGTCACTGCACATGAGCCGTGGCAAAGGAGGGGCCCGTGGAATTATGCTGCCCAGGGCCCCGCAAAACGGTCATCTGCCCCTGCCTGGGTGTGACTCATTTGATGAATCAGGCTCAGTTTCATTACGGAGTTAATTAATATAAACAGCTCTTTATTATAGGAGGGAGGGATAGCTCAGTGGTTTGCGCATTGGCCTGCTAAGCCCAGGTTTGTGAGCTTAATCCCTGAGGGGCCCATTTAGAGATCTGGGGCAAAGCTATCAGGGATGGTATTTGGACAGGGGATTGGACTCAATGATTTCTCAAGGTCCCTTCCAGCTCTATGAGTAGGGATATCTCTATATGTTATACTATTTATTAGGAGGCTGGGCCAAGGCTACAGGGTTTTTAGGGTCAGGATGGGGCTTAAAACAGGCATTCTTCATGTAAAGCCCTGTGCTCTGAACATGCAACCTCACCTGTTTTGTCACCACACAAACTCCAAAATCCTTTAAAACTGAGGGTGTATATTTCCCCCTCATCATCATTAAATATAATGAGAGTTTAGTGGAATTTATCATATAAAGATGCCATCCTCTTGAGGGCACTCTAGTTTCTCTCTCAAATGCAAATTCAAAGAGCCAAGGCTGGAAATTCTGGGAGCTGGATTACCAGGGAAAGTCCTTAACAGAGCACTGTGGGCTGAATGTTACTTGCAGTTCAATTTTCCTTTGTGCTACTATTTGCAGGCAAACTGGAGAGATGACTTGTGAGACGAGAGCGGTAACAGTTCCTATGGCTGTATTCGAAACTAACGCAGCGCCCTATGCACCAAAAGGTAGGTGGGTTTTGTTGCTGAATTTTCAGAAAGTGTTCTTGATGGCTAATCCTGCAAGTACCAATGGGCAGTTCTCACTATGGAAAAAACCTCGCTCCAAAATGCTAGATTCTGCACTGTATTGGGAGTTAGGAGGTGTCCATGCCCATGAAATCAAACCCAGGCAAGTGTCTTCCTTGGATTGTAACATAATGTGCCACGTAACTGACCTTTTCTTGACCACCACTGCTGCCCAGAGTTCCCCTCCCTACATTAGCACTTTTGCAGCTGGACTGTATACCTGGGAATGATTCACTCTCAGTGCTGTCCCATATGTTTATCTTTTGAAAAAGCAGATCGGTTTTTCGATGCGCTTTGGCAGTGCGGACGCTCTCTTTCAGAAGAAATTTTGTCAGAAGATCTCTTCTGGAAAAGCGTCTTCTGAAAGAAGTCTGCAGTCTAGAAGCAGCCCCAGAGAGAAGCCATTCACCCTCAAAGTGCTAGCTTTTCAATGGTATGACTGTCAGCACAGGCCAGCAGCAAAGGGAA